AAATAATTGATAGTGCATTAGATGATATAAGAAAGTATAGTAGGAAGGTATCAGGATTCACGAGAAGGAAACATGCACTCACAACAAAAGAAAAAGAAACGAAAGAATTTTATCGCAGAAAGGCAGATAATTATATAAACTACAGAAATACATTAAAAGATATTCTTTCACAAGATAAATATATGGGAAAAGGTTTGAATAAAGGAATTAGACATTCCTTGAATAAAGGAATTAGACATTCCTTGAATAAAGGAATAAGGAATTCATATAAAGTTTCTCGAGATGGGCAATATGGTAATTTATCTATTAATCTACATAAACTGTATGGTCAAAATATATTAGTAGCGAAAGATAAGAACACTGGGAAAGAGGTAATGAACACAAAGGTAGATGATGATTTTATTGATTTAATAAATAAAAGATATGATAAAAAGAAAACATATTCCTTACATTCAAGAAAAATATTTCAGGATTTAACAGAAAAATCAAAACTACCATTTAACAAGAGATCTATGAAATTTAAAAAGGTAATAACAGGATCAGGCATTTGTGCTTGTGATCCAAACGAATTAATGAATGATTTAAAGTTAATTTGTGGTTCGATTGATGCTGGAAATAATAATCCAGAGTTAACAAATGAAGGCATTCGCATTATCGATTCATTATTAAAACTGAAGGTATTAAGTCCGGAACAACATGAAAAATTATATAAAAAGTACTTTATATAATGGAACAAAAAATTGTATTAAGTTCTGAAGTGGTTCGAAATAATAATAATAATAAAAATACACCAAGTGAATTCACAGTAAGATTTAGTCGTCCTTTAGTTTTAGATAAAAATAAAAGATATATTGTTGGATTAGACTCAATAAATTCAATGACTTACTCTTGGCATAATATAAGTGATGAATATGATAATAAGAGAATTCGCTATAATAATGGTAAGGAATGGAAAGACATTTTCTTTACAAATGGTTCTTATTCTTACACAGATATCAATAATTACATAAGAGAAACATTAATAAGTAATAATGATTTCGATGGTGCTTCTGCCATAGCACCTATAAGTTTAGAATTTGATTTGAGTAGTTTTAAAATTCTAATATCACTTATGGATAATTTTTCATTAGATTTTACACTGTCAGAATTTTGTAAACTTCTTGGTTTTAAAAAGAAAAAAGTAAATAAAACAGAATGGGGAGCTTTAACACCAAATATAACTAATTCTGTGGATACAATTTATATACATTGTGATCTGATTGATAATTCACTTGTTGATGGAGAATTTGGTGATGTGATATATGCATTGAGTACTGCGGATTTAACAAGAGCTTATCCTTTTACAAAAGAACCTATTAGGGTTGGTTATTCTGAAATTAATAGAAATATTATAAATTCGATAAAAATATATATTACAGATGTGTTTGGTAGAAAAATTAATTTTAATGAAGTAGAAACAAGTTTTACATTAATTATAAAAGAAATGTAAATTATATAATGCACAAAAAAGTATATGATGAAAATAGTGGAGTATATATTCATGTTGATAATTGGACGGGAGAAGGTATCTCCTCGCGTGCAGGAGGTTTTTTTGACACTTTATTTTCTTCTGTAGGTAAAAAAGTATTAGAAACTGTAGGTAAAACTGCTATTGAAAGTGGCGCCAAAAAGGTGGGAACTGAAGTCGGAAATTTAGCTGCTGATAAAATAACAGGTGTATTTAAAAAGAAGAAACAACCTCCGCCAGTTGGCGATAAAATTGTAAAAGAATTAAGAAAGAAGGATACTGAGGACATAAATTTACAAATAAATGAATTGTTATCTGGATCAGGAAGACGAGATATAAATTTACAAATAAATGAATTGTTATCCGGAAGGCGATTATTTAAAAAAGATATATAATATATATGTTTCGATCAAAACAATACTGTGAAAGATATGAAAAAACACCTATTCGATTAGATACACCTTTAATAACAATCCTGGACAATAACGTCACCCAGCAGAAAAATGGATATAGTTTTACTATAGATGATAGATCTTCATATTATGATTGGTTCAATGGGTATTTTGAGGTAAATTTTAAAATAAATAAACTGGCAAACGGAGCTAATTATGATAATGCTGATCAAATTGCTGTAATAAACAATGCAGCTTCATTAATTGATCAATTAGTTATAAAACAAAATGGAAAGAATGTATATGATTGTTATAACTTATATAGGGTTGTGAATGTAAGAAATTTAGTTGAATTAACAAAAGATTATGCAGAAACAACTGGGACAAATGAATTAATTGCTTTGGATTCTACAAATGTAGCTGAATCTAGAGCTAATCAGGCTGGATTTAATAAAGGTTTTGCTGCAAGAAAATTATTAGCTCAAGGAGGTAATGAAATTAAATGTAAAATCCCTTTAAACAATTATTCATTTTTTCGGAGTTTAGAGACAAATATGTTGCCCCCTAGCCAAATTCAAATTACATTACAATTAACAAACGACGATGAATTAATCCATAGGGCAGCTGGAGTTGATAATGGAAGAGTTATAGTTACTAAACTTATCTTATGGGTTCCTCGGTTAATCTTTAACGCTGAAGGATATAGTTTGATTTCTGAACATTATTTGAAAGCAAAAAAGTGGAACTATCTTCGAGAAAGGGTCACACAATCATCTGATATAGAACAAAGCAATATTATTTTTAGAATAACAGCTGGTGTAATGAATCCTAAACATGTGTTTGTTTATTTACAAAGAGCTAATAAAAGTAATTCACAAGAACAAAACCCTCATTTATTAGATACTTTTAAAGTAAATGCTAATAATAGAAATTGTACTTTGCAATCTTGTCGTCTTGAAGTTGGAAATGGTGTTTTTTACCCCGAAACAGAATATTCTAGTATAACGAGAATATATGACGATGTAATAGATTATTTTCACAAACAAAATGATAAAAATACTGGGTCCCTTTTAAATATATCAAACTTTGAGGGTTTGTTTGGATTCATTCATTTTAACTTGGAATTTAAAAAAGAAGAAATTGCATCTGATCCCAAGCATCTTACATTAGATGCAAAATTAAATGTACCGCCAGCTGCAGCTATTTGTGTCTATGCCATTGTAATGTATGAAGAAACAGTTCAATTAAATACTATTGGAAATGAAATTGTTATTGTTTAAGACAGACGTCTTTGATGAAAAAAAAAATAATTATATAAATTATATAAATGTCTTACGTTGAATATAAAATAAATTTATCAGAAGGACAAAAGCACAAACTTGCGAAATCATATAGAGATAAATGCCCGTATACTTTAAGATTGAAGTATGAAGATTTAAATGGTACTTTCCCAATACTTTTAACACAGACACAAATAAATAAAATTGATAGGGCTAAACAGAATAAATCTGGCTTAGAAATTAAGATATCGCGGGAACAAATGCGCAGTCAAGGCGGTTTTCTTAACACTTTAATTCCGTTTATTACAAAATTGGCTCCAAAAATATTAGCCCCTTTAGGTGTTGGAGCATTAAGTGGTTTGGCTAGCACTGGTGTAAGTAAAATACTTGGAAACGGTATGGTATCTGTAGCAAGAAATAAAAGAAATAAAATATTACCATTTATTACACCACAGCAAAGAAAACAATTAATGAATGACGGGGTAATTAAGTTAAATAACAAGCAACGGCAAGATGGTGGTTTCCTTGGTATGTTAGCAGCATCTCTAGGAATACCTTTAATTACATCATTATTAAGTGGCAAGGGTTTACAGGTTGATGCACAACGAGTTCCATATAGACGAATTCCCAGGGTAAAAAAAAAATAAAATTCCTGAACAAACCATTATCTAACTTTGAAATAGAACAATGGGTAAAACAACTTGGTATTCAAAACTTTCAAGGCGTCTTCAGTAGAAATAATTTACCTTCTAATAGTAAAGAATGCGGGATAATAAATTTAGATGACTTTATTGGACCGGGTACACATTGGGTGTGTTATTACAGAAATAATTACTTCGACCCTTTCGGACTTCCTCCACCAAAAGAGGTAATCAGTTACATTCCAGGTTTGAATTATAACAATATACAGTATCAAGATAAAACAAGTGTGTTGTGTGGTTATCATTGTTTATATTTCATACATTTATTACAACAGAAAGTGCCTTTATATGATATATTATACAAACATTTAAACATCAATAATCAAAAAGAAAATGAACAAACAATAATAAACTATTTCACTAATGTTTAAAAATAGTCAAGCGTTTGCTGACACATAGCTTTATGAATATCTATTGAACCGCCTTGTTTTACAAACTTAGATTTCAATTTACCGCATGAAGCACACGCGGCTTTTATCATTAATCTTCCGTTTTTTGTTGTAACATATTGAGGATTTACATTATCGGTGTATGTTCGTTCTTTTAAACAATATATTTGTTTTTGTAAACTCATTTATATATATTTTAATTATAAAAAAGGACTCGTCGGTTCCCGCCTGTATTCTATTTATGAAGTAGTATAGAATATGATGGTTCCGGGGGGATTTTGGCCTGAGGGTGTTCTTAAATCAATAAAATGGGGTTTTATGTCGAGCTGTCTTACTTTTTGGGTTGATGGGTAAGCTATGTCGAGCTGTCTTACCCTTTGGTTTGATAGATAAACACTTTTTTAGGCTTCAAAGTGTCCCGGAACCATCATATTCTATACTACTTATGGTGAGGGTGGGTAGTGGGATAGGGGGCTTAATTTTTCTTAAGTCTTATGTTGCACGAAATCGTTTATATGTCAATATTTCAAAGAAAAAAACATTGATATGACCAGGAACGTTTATTATACACTTTATTTGAATAATTTAAATATGATCTTGTTTTAATTAATCAGAGCGTTCTTCATTAAACTTTTAATCTAAGTCCCAGAGACAACTCTGGCATAACAAACACGAGATCAATAAGTCAAGAGAGTAATAACTGATTAAAAGTTATATATTTGACTTTTCAGAAAAGATGAAAAAGCGGGTGAAACTGTTCAAAAAGTTCCTGTAAATTTCGGTCTCCAATTTTCCGACTTGTGGGAAAATCCGGAACTTGTATTAACCAATATGGCGACCTCCATCTCGAAAGCCGGTAGAGCAATTCCAGAGTTCCTTTTAGCAAAGTTCCCGTATGTTCAGGCAATATCATTAATCATGCTGTTGGCAGAAAGAGCCCTTAAAATGGAGAAGTAAGTAGTTACAGTATTTTACTTCTTTGCATACATTTCCCCTGTATACAATACATGACAGCTCTTTGTTTACATTACCCCACCCATTTTTTCAAGCTATATGTACAGGTGAAATTCGTCTTGATTTTTTTGTTTTATACAGATTTTTTTCTCAAGGTTGTACAAAATATTAAGAATCAATATCTTATGTGACAACACTTCTTGTTTGAACTTGGTTGAATATAATGTGGTTAAATGAAGGTCTTTAAAATATTGCAGCAATTTAAACAAAGTGCCCCAATTAGGCCAATATTGAATCTGTCCGCAGCAAAATCCATGTTTTAAAATTCCTAACCTATTGCCCTCTAGCAGTCTATCCCATAAGCCTAACCTAACCCTAGAAGTAGTCTGAGTGATTTCGTAGAGAAACATTAATATTGAACAAATAATAGATGTATATTATGTAATTTGTAAAATAGATGTGGTCCAGCTCAAAAATTCATGTGTAGGGTGATTGCCTGTACTGACACTACACTAGGGCCTGTCAGTTGTCATAAAATTTCAACAAGTTGTAAACCATATTCCATATAGGGTTTGCATTTTACTAGTTTTCTGAATTCCAGACAGGGTCACAAAGTTGGGCAATGTCTATCCTCTAGAAGTGAGATTCTGACTGAGTGACACAGAACAAAATATATCAGAATTTATCTTAGGCATGGCAAAATTTTTTGACTGGAAATAAATTTTTTGCTGATTTTCATTTGAAATAAAAAAAAATTTAATATCCTCTGAGGGTTTTTATGTACTAGCCAAAAATCTGTGGAGCAGGACCTTCTCCCCAACCCCAGTCTGTGGGCATGAAAGCAATAGGACTGTAGTTAGCTTCACTCTCTAGTCATCCTGTATTAACAATTTTCCTCACTTTAAAGACTATATATTCAACCCACAATAAGTACATAGAACAATTATAATAGCTGTTGTTATATAATAATCACTTAAACATATTGTTTATGTAGATGGTTAAAGTTTGGGGGACGTAATTATGCGTTTGTTGAAATTTCACCGATGTCTAGCAATAATTAACATTTCAAAGTGTTTATAATTTTCAGGTATCCCCCAATGCATCCCCACCTTATTTATGGGATAGCCGTGGTTTGTTTCATCACCGGGTGCATGATGACAGCTAAAATTAAACTGAGATTTGCTACACTTGTATACTCCTCAGTACTTGTATACCTCACCATTAATGCATACACTAACAGGCAGTTCAACTACTCAAGACATGTTAGGGTAAGTATAATGACTACAGATTTAATGATCAATACTTGAGCCGCGTCATGACAAAACCAACATAATGGGTTTGCGAACAGCATAGATCCAGACCAGCCTGCGCATCCGTGTAGTCTGATCAGGATCCATGCTGTTCGCTATCAGTTTCTCTACTTGTAATAGAGTTGGTAAGCAAACAGCATGGATCCTGATCAGACTGCGAGGATGCGCAGGCTGGTCTGGATCCATGCTGGTCGCAAACCCTCTATGTTGGTTTTGTCGTGACGCGGCTCATATATATGTATGATATATATGAGCTGTCATCAATAGAAATGATATCATTGTATTGTTGATATTTTCCTGTCAATGAATAATCGATACACTTTTAAGAAAATTGATAACATTGACTTAATAATTGAATTCAACCAAAACATAATTCAGAAGCATATTGAAAGCGGTGATAAAAAAAAATGGTCAGCAAATAGCATGCAATGGGCATTTATAAACAAGACACAATCATGTATGAAACATTCTGCTCATTTGTAGAATATTATAGATTTGAAATAGTAACAAGAGAAAAAATGCGTTATTGAACAGGCTTCATAAAAAGAACACTCTTTATAATATTATATTAGTATTGAACTATTGTATATTAATGGGTTATTTAATCCTTAAGTTAATACAAAACTGATAAATATATATATTGGAGTTTGGACAACTACATTTAAATAATAATCAATAAGACAGAATAAATGAAGAAATAATTAAACCCAAGTAAAATAAGTATTGTTGTTATATAACAGAATATTTAGAATATTATTTTCTTTTAGAATCGTATAGCAAGCAGACATGCAGGATGTTTAGGTGTATACTTGATTTATTCATTCATCAAAAGCAACCGACAGTCTAACTTAATACACAGGATTGGAGAACTGTGTATATCAGCGTACCTCCTCGGATCAGCGTATCTAATCAACGAAAGCTATGAAGACAAGCGCGCAGTTCTTGAAAATATCCCTGGCGGGAATTACGCGAGATATTTCTTAACCATAATCTTCACATGTGCTGGACTGTGCTTCATTTCTGGTTATTTCCTAAGAGATATTTCCATGTCGATGGCATTCTTGATCGGTGCGATAACAATTTTAGTGGATATGAAATTCTCGTACTGGTCATATCGTGGAATGGCTTACTGGAACCAGATGAGGATTGTTATAGATAATTTGAACCTGTTGACGGGATTTTTTGTGTTCATGATTCATTATGAAAACATCGCTAGAGCGGATGCGGAAGCAATACAGAGAGCAAAGGAGCAGGAAGAGCAGGAATCTGATGAGGAGCATGATAAGCAAGAGTGAAGTTTTATCATCGCTAAAATATCATCTGTTTGAATCTGGTCAGCAATTTGTCATTAACGTAGCAATGCTCAAAGTGGCTGAATTTTTTTTTTATAACCATCTTAAGAGTGAAATCAAAATGATAAGAATTTTACTTTGCACACAAGGCCATGTATAGCATAAGTTCAAAAATCTTGTGCCACCTTCTTGAAGTTGTATAAAGAAGTGGCAGAGGTATACCTACATTAAATTTTATAAGCTTAATTATGTTAAATTATGTTAACAGGCTTTTTTTAATTGAAAATGATACAAGAAATTAGCCAGTATTAAGTTAATTAATGCAAAAAAAAAATTTTTTTACTCAGAAATCCATTTTTGTGTCGCCTCTACGGAGTAGTGGCGACATATAGGGATCACTTCTCCGTCGTCTGACTGTCCGTCTGTCTGTCTGTCCGTCCGTCCGTCTGTCACAAAACTTGTCCGGACTACTCCTCATAAACTACTGGTGCAATTTCATCCAAACTTTACAAGAATGATCAGTACCAAGTCTAGTTGTGCATATTGTCAGCATTTTCAGTTTCAATGATTTTTGTCAGAGTTATGGCCCTTTAATAATTTTTAATTTTAAAGTTTGTCCGGACTACTTCTCTTATACCACTAATGCAATTTCAATGAAACTTTACAGGATTGATCTGTAGCTCAAGTCCTTGCGCATATTGCAAGGGTTTTCCGGTTGAAGGATTTTTGGCCGAGTTATGGCCCTTTGATAAAAAGGTTTCTTTTTCTGTGTGTTGCCAGATACACAAAAGCTTGTCCGGACTACTCCTCATAAACTACAGGTGCAATTTCATCCAAACTTTACAGAATGATCAGTACCAAGTCTAGTTGTGCATATTGTCAGCATTTTCCGGTTCAATGATTTTTGTTTGAGTTATGGCCCTTTAATAATTTTTATTTTTAAAGTTTGTCCGGACTACTTCTCTTATACCACTAATGCAATTTCAATGAAACTTTACAGGATTGATCTGTAGCTCAAGTCCTTGCACATATTGCACGGGTTTTCCAGTTGAATGATTTTTGGCTGAGTTATGGCCCTTTGATAAAAAGGTGTTTTTTTTCTGTGTGTTGCCAGATACGCAAAAGCTTGTCCGGACTACTCCTCATAAACTACTGGTGCAATTTTATCCAAACTTTACAGGAATGATCAGTACCAAGTCTAGTTGTGCACTGTCTGTCTGTCCGTCTGTCACAAAATTTGTCCCAACATGAAATTGGCCATAATGAGGCAACACATGTGATTACTGATCGCTCTTGTTTTCCAAATATCTTCAAATGTCAAACATGTCTTTGTGTTTTATTAACTGAAAAAACTAGGACTGAACTTTCTGTAATGTGTTGTAAAGTAAGCAAAATGTAAACAAAATAGTATTTTTGACTTCCATACAAAATATTAATTCACTATAATTAAACCAACTGCCATCAGAGCAAAAGAAGCAACAAATAGTTTAACTTTGTGGCAAATGAGTAAATTTTTGGAAACTGTAACAAGACACCAAAAATAAAAAAGTTTCTGAGCAATAAAAATGATTGCCTGTCTAAGGGATAATGGGCCTTTAAGAATATGGAACAAATTTTTTATTATAATTTATCCTGAACAACCCCAATGTTATGTATTTTTTACTTGAGAAGTATTAAGATTTTCACACATTTGTTACTGAATTTATATTATTTTTTAACTTTTCATAGCTCAAATGTTTACCGTTTTCATATTTATAACTGTACTGGTATGTGTATTTATCAACTTTGTTATTTATTTTTGCATAGAACTTTAGTGAACTGTTTGTTATATCTTTTTACTGATCTCTTATACAGGAGGTATCATGTTAACATTTTGTTCAGTAAATGACATCATAGACTTGTGACATCGAAAAAAAAGATAAACTCACCTTTACCCTGTTGAAGGCAAAAGTGATTAGTGTTTTCCACCAGTATAGAGCCAGGCCAGCCTGTACATCTGTGCAGTCTGACCAGGCTCTACACAGTTGTCTGGCCAACTTGAAATTCTCACCTTGATATTCCCTAAAATATATAATGGACAGTTCCAAAATGGAAATTGGAAAAGTCCATTTTAAGAAATTCAGTAGGTTAAGGGTTTAAATTTTGAGGACTGCAGTAAAAGTGCTTCCTTTTGTACAAAAATACAAGTAAATATTCACAGATACCTGTATTTTGTTATATTTGGATAATTTAGTCTTCCACCACATAAACATGCTTTGTATAAAATGAAATCTTTAATATAACTTTAACATTGTTTAATGTCTTTTAATAATGTTTTTTTTTAATCTTAGAATGTTTTTAAGTATCAATTCTCTTTATCTAATGAAAGATATTTGAAATTCACTTTTTATACTAACTTGTAAATGTATATTCTTATTTATGATACATCGATGTCATTATTTTAGTTTACAATTCACCCAGTGTAAAGTGCCTATAATGTAGAAATGTTAAAGATATAATTGAGCAGTGTCATGACAAAACCAACATAATGGGTTTGCGACTAGCATGGATACAGACCAGCCTGCGCATCCGCGCAGTCTGATCAGAATCCATGCTGTTCGCTATCAGTTTTTCAACTAGTAAAAGGGTTGGTAAGCGAACAGCATGGATCCTGATCAGACTGCGCGAATGCGCAGGCTGGTCTGGATCCATGCTGGTCGCAAAACCATTATGTTGGTTTTGTCGTGACACGGCTCATTATTATGCTCATCTTTTTGTAAAATACTTTTATTGCAGAAATTTAAAAAATCTAAAGATTCTTAGCCAATATATCTAATTTGAATAAAAGATTGTACAAACCATGTTTGGAAAGTTGCATTTCCTATAATTGCTCAATTTAAATGCCAGTTTTTTAAAGACACTATGTATTCATACTGTGTTTACATATAGTGTGTAGTGTTCAAAACTTAATATATCTTTTTTGTGTATACTAAAAAGATATTTATTTTACATTTAAAAAAAAAATGTATAGAAATTATCAGTATTTTCAAATATCAAATTTGAGCACAACATATCTTTACCTATGTTTTCTCAATGTCACAATTTCCTATGGTGGAGAACATGTTAATTCCATATTAATTTTGGGGTACTACCATTAGTTTCAATAAAATCCTGAGAGGAGGGGAGGGGTATTTATCACAGGTTTATACATGTAGGTCATGCCAGGTCAAAATATGGAATTCCGTTACCATTAAGATATTCAAATATAGATAGATTTGCTAAACAAAGACATTTCCTTATAATCTTTGAAATCATGTAACTGGTCAAAAAAAAAGTTTAATATAAATATTAAATTACTTTTGTTTCCTGCAATTCTGACATTGAGGCTTTGACCAAAGCACACAGTTTTTTGGTATTCACTGGAATAAGAATCATTAATATAATCATGTTTAATTAATATACACATGTAATTAAAATCGTCCTTGTACCAAATATTTTTTTACATTCCTAAATTTCAGACAGATAAATAACCTTTTGATAGCAAACTATTCTTGCCTTTCTATTTTTCATCTTGGTAAAATCATGTGTATTTTTTATCAATTATGGAAGAAATGTGTTCATGTAATATCTTTGCAATGTATTTATTCTGTATAAAATGAATAAAAATAAAATATATTTGTACATGTTGTAATGTGCTTTTGTTAATAATGTTAATTTATGGGAAATGCTAATTGTACTGCACACAGGTTAGTCTCATATCTGTCCATTTAAGATGTGTTGGGTTAAAGGTTTTAAAGAGACAGCCTTTCAGGAAAACAAGAGCTGTCGGTAGGACAGCACGCTCGACTATTCTAAGTGCTTGATAGTGAAAGAGCTTAATAATGTCAAATTTTTTTAAGTTCACAAAAGGGCTAATTTTTTTTCATAAATTCATGTTATAGGCCTTTTAGAGAGAGTCTAATTATTAGGAGGTATTGGCTTGACTATTCGGAAGGTAATGTCACAAGGGTGTTTTTATTGAGTATAATAATACTAATTACCTATGAATACATAAATTTGATCAGAAAAGGTAGAAAGGCTTGTTATTAAGGATGTTTTTATCAAGTAAATCAGCTCCTTTATTAATATAAATGCCATAAAATTGTCCCAAAAAAAAGGCACAAACCCTTCAGTAGTTATTGAGATAAACAGGCTTACAAACAAAAACTTTACCACATGAAATTTCTAAGTTGAAAAAAGGGGAGAAAAAATAGCCTCAAAAATGCAAAGCTTTGTCAGTGACCCTACAATTTGACCCTAAATGTTCGAAGTTTTAAATAAATATCTTTTAATAGTAATAGAGATATGTAAAATTGTTACTATAAAAAAAGTATTAAATTTCAAGTGAATATCTCAAGCAATAATTGAGATATTTGACTTTACAAAAAAACTTTAACCAAAATTTTCTAAGTTCCCAAGGGGGCATAATTCTGTCATTTTGTGTAGGCAGAGTTATCCAACTTGTCAATCTGATGTACCTTGTTAACTATAACATAAGTATTTTTAAGTTTCTTTTAAAATATCTAAACCATAATTGAATATTTGACTTTAAAAAAAATTTTAAACCAAAATTTTTTCTAATTTAAAAAGGGGGCCAAAATTTTTGTCAATTTTTACAATTTATCCAATTTTTAAAAATTTTAAAAGGGTCCCTTTTTAACTAAAAATAAGAAATTTTTAATTTCTTTGAAAATCTCTAGCAAATCGAGGTTAAAATTTTCCTTTTCAAAAAAATTTAACAAAAAATTTTTTAAGTTCCAAAGGGGGGATAAATTTTTGTCAAAATTTTTAGGCCCGAATTTTTTCCCAAATTGTTTAAAACTGAGTACCTTGTTAAATATAAAATAAATTTAAGTTTCAAGAAAAACTTTTGGGAATAATTGAGTATTTTAATTTACAAAAAATTTAACCAAAAACCGACGCGGGCGCAGACGCCGGGGCAAAACAATATTTCATTTCTTTTGAATAGTCGAGCTAAAAATTAAAAAAAACCAAAATCAGACAGAAACAATATGAAATGTAATAACAAGACATTTTATACTGTTGTTTTTTTTGTTTATTTATTTAATGAATTTTTTATATAAAAACTTGATTAAAGATGAAAAAAATGCATGCATAAGGAATAGTGATATATCACATAGTTTTTACCAGTAAACCTGGACAAAGTTAACAAAAAGGAATGTTCACCAAAAGGAAAAACATTAATTTGTTACTGAAGAATGAAAAATCAACTTACTGATTTTTGTGCAAGAATCAACTAATCTGTTTTTAAAGTATATATCTTTAGGATCCTTGGCGGAGAAATTTGGTTGTAATTATTTTTTAAATATTATATAGCTTATAACTGCTTCCCATAAATGCCCTTGTAAACGGAGGAAACACAAAAAGAACCCCGCCATGAAAAATGACCCTTAACGTTACTCATATTTTAACAAGACATATTCAATTCTTAAAGAAATTCAATTCAATAGCTTTTAAATTAATTAAAATAAAACTTGAAAATTTGCTTGTTAGCTATATATATATACATGTATATATATTCAACATTTTCAAGGATAAAATTCACTTTTTTTTTTTGAACGTCAATGAAAATGAGTCCGCGTCATGACAAAACCAAACATAGTGTGTTTGCGAAACCAGCATGGATCCAGACCAGCCTGCCGCATCCCGCGCAAGTCTGATCAGGATCCCATGCTGTTTGCCATCTTTCTGTACTTATACGTAATAGGGTTGTAAGCGAACAGCATGGATCCTGATCAGACTGCGCGGTATGCGCAGGCTGGTCTGGATTCCATGCTGGTCGCAAAAACCCATTATGTTGGTTTTTGTCGTGACGCGGTCAAATGTAACGTTTTTTTAACGTCATATTAAATGACATTTACGGGTTTGTGGTTTCATGGTGGGCGTTCAAATATTATTATTCTGTTTTTAAGTGCTAGACACAAAGTCAATTTTGAAAATTTTAAGTCGAGGGATAAAGACCCAAAAATTGCTCCCTATTTTCCCTTTCATAAAGTTATAAAACAACTGAATTGCATTGAAAAACCCTTTAAACCCGAATATATTAAGTTTACAAAAAGGGGTTTAAAGCACAGGGTTCAGCACAATTCTATCCCATAAATAGTCAAATTATATAAAAAATCACCCTCTTGTATCAAAAACATAATTACATCTGCTTTTTAAAACTATATAAAATATATACAATGTTGTTTTTGCGCCAGCAGGGATCCAGACATTTTGGCGCAGGGGCCTTTTCTGTAAAGGATCCATGCTTTTCTATCAGTTTCCTCACTTGTAATGTAGGGCTGGTTTAAACGAACCGCATGGATCCTGATTCAAACTCGCGGACCATGCGCAGGGTGGTCTGGATCCATGCTGGTCGCAAAACCCATTATGTTGGTTTTTGTGTGACAACGGCCATATTTTCATAACATAGCCAAAGAAATTTTTCAATTTATACGTAATGGGGCTGGATTAGTAATTTTTTGTCACCTCCATGATCAAAGGGGTGATTATTTTCATATAATTTGAGCCATTATTGGCCATGGACAAATGTGCGATACGCCCTTGCTAATACTCTTTAAAAATATTTCCAAGCCCAGATTTTAGCAGTCTTAATAACACTACCCTGTAAGAATTAAGAGAAGTTCCCATGTAATTCCCCTCGTGGTTAAAAATAATTTACAAATTTGCCACAAAAAAATTTTCAAAGTGATACCTAAAACCCTGATGCCAAGGTGAGTAGGACAATTCCTTCCCTCATTTTCTTGAAAAGTAAAAAAAAAAAAAATCTGTCTAAATTTAAGATACTGAACAAACCTGTATTTGATTTTCCAATCACATCTTATATTATTTACATAATAAGGCATACAAAAATATGAACAAAGCAGGATTTAATGAGCTACATTCACCCGTCTCCACTATTGAAATTGAATAATAAACCAGGTCACCAATAATGACTTCTGCAAACAAAAATTTTGACTGACAGATGCTCCCTAAAGCCGCCTAGCCCTTAACTTTCGGAATTTCTTTAATGGAC